CCAGCCCCTCTGCCTCTCGCAGCCGCTCCTGATGGAAGCCGGGCACACTGCGGGGTCCTCAGCTGGGATGTCGCCAACACTGCCTCCATATTGCCTTGGACCAGCTGGGGAGCTGACCCTGCCCATGAACCACCCTCACCTGCTCCGGGGTGGATCCGGGGTGGATCCGGGGTGCGGATTGTGTTGCTCCAATCCCCTACTTGTGTGGCCCAGCTGTAGCCATCTGATCCCCCGTCTCCCCTCCCCTGAGCCCTTCCCAGCCTGCCCTGGATCTAGTCTTACACCCGCCCCCTTATAAAGAAGCCATACCCCCCTTGTACGGATGGGGAAACCGAGGCACAGGGTGAGTATGGGCCGGATACTAATCCCCCGACTCTTGCCTGCATCCCAAGTCACCCCTCTGAGATCGGTGGGTGGCTCCCAGAGGAAGGATTGACTCAGCTTGGGGCAGGGTGCAGCAGCCCGCTCCTTGGCCAAGGAGGCAGAGCCAGATAATTTCAGCCAGACCTCCTGCATCCTAGCCCCGCTGCCTTAGCCTCAAGGCCATTCTCCCTCCCTCCCTCCTCCCCCGACCTTGGGACTGCTGCCCTGCAGAGCCCTCCTCCTGCACCGGCTAGCCCAGGGAGGTGCCCCAGCCCAGGGAGCACAGAAGCCTTCCCTGCCATGCTAACAACCCACTAGAAACCTCCTCGGGAAAGGGCAAGTTGCCTAGGGGTCACCACGAGTGGGCCAAACCCAGAGGCCGCCAGCACCAGAAGCTCCCTGGCGGGTAGCAGTAGTAAACTCTTATCCTCTGCGGGAACGCGTGGAACACCTGCTGAGCCAGCTACACCCGGATCCCAGCCGGGGCAGGCTGTACCGCCACCAATTCCAGAGTTGGGTTCCAGGGTCTGCCAGCCCCTCTGCCCTCCTGGGGTCAGCGTGCACAGAGCTAAGAGAAATCCACCCCTGGGCACCAGGCCCGGCCCAAGACCTGGGCCCTGGTAGAGCCAGGGGCTTGGGCAGGCCCAGCGGTGAGCGCACAGTGCCACGGAGCCACCAGCTCTGTGATTGGGCCCCGTGGCTGGGGGTGTCCTGCTCTGGGGAAGGTCATTAAGGGGTTGCACGGGGGAAGGGGCAGTGGCCTCCTCCCAGGCTGCTGGTCAGTATTGTCCCTTGTGGAGACAGAACTCTGTGGGGGGGGCCTGTCCTGCCCTGGCCAGTTGGCACAGAGCCCGCGCCACCTTTCTACATCGGAGCCCCCAGAGCTGTGGGCCTGGGAGAGCTTGCCCCACGGCATGGCTCTGAGCCAGGGGGAAAGGACCAGGCTCCTGGTTTGACAAGTGGGACCAAGCAGAGGGTAAAACCTTCTCTACTCAGACTTGATTGCTCAGGGGAAGGGGGCATCGCACCTCGTTATCCCGCAGTAACGACCCCAGACTCCAGCCTGGCCCCGTACAGGACTCTGTGAGCCCCAGCACACGACAGTATCTTCAGCAAGGGGCTGCCCAGGGCAGATCTGCCAGGGCCTAGCCAAGGAGGGTCCCTTCTGCCTTAGCTCCCAAGGTACCTTCCTCCCAGAAGCAATGGCTGCTGAATCCCTGCTCTGGTAGAAGCCAAGAGCATGAAGCCGGGTTTATCCTATGCTCCACCCGGGGCCCAATCCAGCGTGGGTGCTGAGCACTCTCAGCTCTTCCTGAACTCAAGGTGTTCAGCATGGCACAGGATTGAACCCTCAGTGCCCAGCTCAGTGTGTCAGGGGCTGGGCAGATACTGAGCCCTTTGGCAAAGCTGGTGCCAACAGTGGGTACGGCACAACTGGAAATCTGCCCTGTAATCCGTCCAATCGTGTCCAAGCCAAAACCCACTGAAGTCAACGGGAGTATAACGATGCTGAGGACATCACAGGCCTGGGACCTACGCATGCATTTGGGTCAAGCCCTTAACGATGACATCTTATAGCCACTCAATCTGCAGCTCTTTGTTTGACCAGCCCCCCCCGTCCTCTGAAGAGATGAGCATTTATTGGGGTTAAAACCATTCACTGTTTTTTTTTTAAAGTCCCCTTTTGAGAAACTGAGTTTCCCCCACTCGGGTTTTTGGCCCTAAATCTGGAACGGGAGCGGTACCAAAAAACTGCCGTTAAAAAAGAATAATCAAACGCATTTACGGTTCAGCCTCAAAACTGTTTCAGCTGGGGCCGCCCCGATCATTCAGATTCCACTGCCGCTGGAAAGCCGGATTTCTCTCTTCCCTTCCCCCACCCTTGCAACGTACGTGGACAACAAAACCCCAGCCCAGCCCAGCAGCTGGGGTTAGAGCAAAGCTTCCTAATCGCCAGGACGATAATTATTTGAATCCTGCAAACTCTTGGTTAGTAGGTGTCGTGCTGGCTAGCCCCTGGGCTTCCATGGCACTGCTTGTATCAGGAAGTGCTACACCTGGTTAGGCTCCTGGACTGGGCCTTAGCTGATGTAAACTCTATGGGGGCATGGCCTTTGCCTTCATCCCAAAGCACCTAGCGCTGTCATTGCTACAGAAATAAAGAAGGATCTAGTCCAGTGGCTCTCAACCTTTGCAGACGACTGTACCCCTTTCTGGAGTCTGATTTGTCTCGCATACCCCCAAGTCTCAGCTCACTTAAAAGCGACTTGCTTAGAAAACCAGACATAAAAATACAGGCATGTCCCAGCCCCACTATTACTGAACAATTGCTGACTTTCTCATTTTTACCATAGAATTATAAAATAAAGCAATTGGAAGATAAATATGGTACTTACATTTCAGAGTAGAGAATACAGAGCAGTATAAACAAGTCACTGTCTGTATGAAATGTTAGTTGGTACTGATTTGGCTGGTGCTTTTTATGTCACCTGTTGTAAAACTAGGCAAATATCTAGATGAGTTGCTGTCCCCCGTGGAAGACCTTTGAGTACCCCGGGTTGAGAACCCCTAATCTAGTCCATAGCGGTTCCTCTGGATGCTGGTTATTGGAGTCAGAAACTCTTCATATTCGCATTGGCTCCCTCTCCTCCCAAAGATGCTCCATTTTGATTCCCTGAATTTGTCAGCTTTGCCAACCCCAGCGGTGTATCTCAGCCCCCCACACCCGAGTTTCTCTTGCACTGGCGAGCCAGGGAAAACAACCAACGCCGAGTTTGTGTCACATTAGCCCGGTTCCACCCTGCTACATCTTCCCCCGCTGGGACTGCCTGGAAATGGAAGCTTCTTTCACACCTTTAATAATTTAAACATCTTTGTTATGTAAGGAGGTTTGGTTGGTTTTTAAAGCACAAAACTCTTGTCCTGGAGCATTCTCTGTTTTGCGACTTGCATATAAATCATTTGCATTTGTATTTGATAAAATAATTAGTCGCGCCTAAGGGGACCCGCTTGGTTTAGTGAAAATCCGAGCGATTGTTTATCTGTGGTTTTTTTGTAACGTTCAAACCTTCCTGCCTTCCAGTCCTATAACCACTCTCACTCTCGGGGTTAGAACCGAAGTTTTAAACCCATAGAGCAATAAGAAGACCCAAGAGCCGGCTCTGAAGTCAGAGCCTGGTTGTTATTGTTGATGTTTTCCACATGTACCAGCTGTAAAAATATGCTAAGGGCCAGATTCTCAGCTGAGAGGAATGGGCATAGCATCTACTGAAGTCAGTGGGGCTACTCTGATTTACATCAGTGCTGGATCTTTCTCTCCTCAGTTTACAAAAATATCAGCCAATGTACCTGATTTATAAAGGGGTAAAATAAAACCCGTTTTCCTACACTTTGATCTCCTCTCTTTTTCACACATTATACAGTGACTAATCTTTGCCAGCCAGCCTCCATCCCTAGGGCTGAATCCCTCAATCCAACTCAAAATACCCTCCGAGAAAGCCGGGTTTCCACAATTGCTTTAATTCTGGGCTTGTAAAAATGGAATGTTATCAAATTCTAGAAAATGATCTTATGCGATTCGCCTCCTTGGCTAATCCTGCCCTGCCTTCTCTTTTGTTTTCAGGAATATTCCCAGAGCAGGATTTTTCACCCATGCCATTTGGAACTTTCTTTTGAATTAAGAAATTGGCCAGAGCCCTTGTTTAATTTGCCCCTGGATCTATTTCACATGCTGATCTGCAGCCCCCCCCCCCCATTCTGCTTTTTAAAGACCGCTTGCTCCCTCCCTAATACAGAGCAGTGTGTTTAAAAAAGAAGACAAGAAATGAACCAGCGGAGACAAATTTAGCTCTGACCTAGAGGCCTCAGGCTGAAGACAGGCCTCCTTTAGCAGAAGCGAAGGATATGCCATTTGGCAAGATCACGAGAAGTGGGTTGGGGGGCGGGGGGACGACAGACCGTCTGTTTATACAGGAGGAAAGGAATCATGAGGGAACAGTCAAAGCCCAGCCTGGGTATTTGGGATCAGAACCTCACAAGTTTTACCTTTGCTTCCTCTGGCCCAGAGTTACACAAGTGGCAAATATTCACTGGGTTTGGGACTCAGATGATAACTCAATCCCTGTGCTAAATGGAGACTCAAAGGTGTCCGGGGCAGAAGGAAATGGGGTCACAACCCCCCCCCCACACACACACACAGGGCCTGACTCTCTCCAGTGCAAAACTACCCCACCGGAGTCAGGGTGAGGTGGCGGAGAACTGTCCCTTCCCCCGCTCCAACCCCACCCCCTAAACCAATTGCACATACAAACCCCCGGCCTCTATCCATGACGCCTCTCATCTGATTGTACCTCCTGCCATCTGCTACCATCTCACTCTCGCTGCAAACAGCTCATTGTTGCGTGGCCTCCCCCCTCTCTAAGCCCTGACATTTTAATATGCATGGCCATTTCGCATGGCCCCGACTTTCTCTGCCCTCCTGGCCACAGCTGATCTGATCTCCCCCGACATCCCCAAGTCTCCTTTTTTCTCAGGCTGCTCTTGCTTTGTCATTTCATAGTCAGTTTTCTCTCTCCTCCTCCCCCCCCCCCCCGCGCCATCCCATTATTGTTCTAGCAGCCTGGGCCTGGCTCACTTACCTTTGTGCATGCCCGTGTATTTGTCCTTAATCACTGTCAACTCGTAGATCTTCCCAAATTGCTCAAAGATGGGCTTGAGATCCTTCTCCTCCAAATTCCGTGGGATCTGCCCGATGAAAAGTTTAATGGCATCGGGTTCCTTCATTGGTCCAAAGGGGCGAATCTGGGGGGCGAGCTTCGAATCGCCTACCCAGCCCCGGCGGAGGAAGCGAGAACACAATCCCAGCCTTAACTACGGTCCCAACACTGCCCAGCGGCGAACCAAACAAAGGGAGCAGAGGCTGATTGGTGGCTCTGGATGCTTGAACCAGGATCTTCCAAATCTGTAAAAAAAAAAAAAAGTGGGTTTTTTGGGGGTGGTGGTGGGGGGGGAGGGGGATTCCTCCCTGTTGCCTTCTTGCTGTCTCTGATTTTTTTTACCTTTAAAAAATAAAAAATCCGGATTTTTTTTTTTTTGGTGCAAAAAACACAAATTAAATCATCATCGGTAAAAAAGAAAAAGAAAAAAAAATCAACTCTGAAGAATCTTGCAATTCCGCCTCCTTGGACCCGAGCTCTTAGCAATGTCACAGCCCTGGCGCGAATACTTTTGATCTATTAATTACAGAGCTTGCAAAGCAGTTAATTAGTTTATTGATTAACTTTCCTTGAAGAGGCTGAGACCAGTGTAAATTCTTGGGGTGGGTTTTTTTTCCTTAAAAAAAAAAAAAATGCATATAAATAAATAAATAAATAAATAAATTATCGATTCATTTCTTCCTTCTCCTTTCCCCCCCCTCCCACCCCTTTTCCAAGCTGGATTTCAGCTGCTTTTGCTGGATTTCTCCCTTTAATGGATCTTGAGCTCTGATTCAAATCTCTTCTTTACCAACAGAACCCTCCTCTCCAGACCGCCCTCCTTCCCTGACAAATAATGATGTCAGATTTAGGGACCGGGAGCAAACTCCCAGCCCCGGGAGAGACGCAGGCAGGCAGGCAGGCAAGCAGGGAGGTTCAGTGCCACAGAAAACGACAGGCTCAGGCCAACCGATGTAAATAAATACAGGCCCGGACAGAAAAACAGAGACCCCGGCTTGTTACCAGCACTGCTTGTGCTGTTCTTCTAAGGGCCGCTTCCTGAGAAGCCAGTGTAGATGGTCTATATAGGGAAATAGTGCACCATATGAGATCAGATCATACAACACAGAACACCCCCACAGATACTCTAGTTTGAGTTTATTAGGTGTGCACACGTACATGCATGTGCATATACGGGCCACGGCTTTCACAAGTGATGAGTGGTTTTGGGTGCCTCAATACTGGGGTTGCCCAAGTGGAGACCCCCTGAAAGGGTCCAGACATGCAGGGGCTTCAATCTCTTTTAGGAGCCTCAAGCGTAAGCCAGTAATAGAGGCCCCCATAATCATGGGTCTCTTTTGAAAATCTTGGTTTCTCTATCTATTCCTAGATCAGGGGTGGGCAAATCTTTTGGCCCAAAGGCCACATCTGGGTATGGAAATTGTATGGTGGGCCATGAATGCTCCCAAAATTGGGGTTGGGGTGCAGAAGGGGGTGAGGGCTCTGGCTGGGGGTGCCGGCTCTGGGGTGGGGCCAGAAATGGGGAGTTCAGGGAGCTGGAGGAGTCTCCAGGCTATGGCAGGGAGTTGGGGAGTGGGAGCGGGTCAGGAGTGCAAGCTCTAGGCGGCGCTTACCTCAAGCAGCTCCTGGAAGCAGTGGCATGTCCCCCCTCCAGCTCCTATGCAGAGGTGCAGCCAGGCGGCCCTGCGCACTGCCCCACCCGCAGGCGCCACCCCTGCAGCTCCCATTTGCCACAGTTCCCAGCCAATGGGAGCTGCAGAGGTGGTGTTTGGGGCGGAAGCAGCACATGGAGCCCCCTGGCTACCCCTAAATGTAGGAGCTGGAGGGGGGACATGCTGTTGCTTCCGGGAGCCTCGGCATGGGTGCCCAGCATGGCCTCCAACCCCACTCTCTGGCTGGAGCACGGGAGCAGGGCAAGCCCCAGACCCTGCTCCCCAGCAGGAGCTTGAGGGCCAGATGTGGCCTGCGGGCTGTAGTTTGCCCACCTCTGCCCGACATCATACAGCCAGAAGGGGCCATTGGGGTCATCTAGTCTCACCTCCTGCATCACACAGGCCAGAGAACTGCCCTGAATAAATTTCTGTTTGAAATAGAGCAGGTCTTTTAGAAAAAAGATCCAATCTCTATTTAAAAATTGCCAGGAGAATCCACCAGCCCCCTTGGTAAATTGTTCCAAGGGTTAATTAAACATGTGCATGTTATTTCTAGTCTGAATTGGTCTCGCTTCAACTTCCAGCCATTGGATTTTGTTAGACCTTTGTTGGCTGGACTGAAGAGCCCGTTATTATCAAATTTCTGTCCCCCATGTAGATACTTATAAACTGTGATCAAATAACCCCTTAACTTTCTCTTTGTTAAGCTAAATAGACTGAGCTCTTTGAGTCTATCGTTATAAGGCAGGTTTTACAATCCTTTAATCATTCTTCTGGCTCTTCTCTGACCCCTCTGCAATTTATCAACATCCTTCTTGAATTCTGAACATCAGAACTAGAAGCTGAATTCCAGCCCTGGTCACACCAGTGCTGTGTGCCTGTGTATTTTGTGTGTGTGTATTTGCATTAATAAATGTAATATAATACAATAAAATATACTACACAGGCTTACATCTCTCAAGTCCCTTTTCTTTTTGAACTGCCTCACCATGCTACACACCTGGCACTAGGGAAATGCAGCCACCTCTGGGGTGGGGAGCATCAGCAGCTTGCTGAACATCACAGGAAGAGGAGATTTTGGCTAAGTATCCCAGGACCAGCACCTGCTCTTAGGTAGTATGGCGCTGCTGTAATGCAGTTAATTAAGGAGAAAAGGAGATGAGGCCGACCAAGGAAGGGAGTTGGTATCTGGAAGCCGATGCCTTTTTAGTTTGGGGGATAATCTGCACAAAAATGGCTTGAGAAATTACTAGAAATGCCTATTTTATTATTATTTAAACTGTTTACCAAAGCGAACGCCACCTGCTGGGGCTCGTGTGTGTGTGTGTGTGTGTGTGTGTGTAACATGGGCCACAGTTCTAAGCATCACCCTGATAAAACCTCACCACTGTACCATTTTGCATTTACCGTCCATCCCCTGGCCACAAGGAAGTGGGGCTCAGTACAGAGGTAGGTCTCGTTAACCCACTTTGACAGACGTGGAAACTGAGTCAAGGCCACACTTGGGAGCTGAGAGTAGAACCCAGGTGTCCTACCCCCCACTGCCCAAAGTACTATGTTACACTCCCACTTCCAAGGTGGGAATGGAACCCAGCACTCGTGACCCTCAGTCCCCTGCTATAGCTACTGAAGACCGCACTTCCCCCAGAGAACCCAGGAGTCCTGATGTCCAGTCCCTTGCTTGGGCTGGTAGATCCACCCAAGCTGGACGAGAACCCCCTGCCATAAGTACCCAACCCTCCATGCCCAGCTACAGAACCTAGGGATCTTGAGTCCCTGTGCCCTGCTCTAACCACTGGACCACACTTCCCCAGTGGCAGAGAGAAATCTGCAGCCCCCACTCCCAGCCCTGCTCTGAGCACTAGGCTACGCTGCCTCCTAAGAGCCACAAGCATGGAGCAGCCTCCTCCTGCTGAGAATTTGTCGAGAGTCCCTTAGCCTGTCCCGGCGCACTGCCCATTGTTCGCGGAGCTGTCCGCGGTGCTGAAGCCCAGCTGGGCCTCCGCGGAGCGAGCCGGGCCGAGCGGCGCCGGGAGCCGGGATCGGCCGGGCCGGACCCCCGGCTTGGCTTCCCTGAAACCACAGACCCACACACAGACCCACACACCCGGCGGAGACACACAGACCCACACACACACGAGATATACACAGCAACACACACAAATATACACACCCAGAAGAGCTACATGCACACACACACAGAGCAATGCACACAGAGGAGATTCACACAGCAACACACACACAGATGTACACACACAACACACACATGCACACACAGAGCTGCACGTACAGCAATACACAGCGATATGCACATACAGATACACACAGAAACAAACACACCCGGAGGAGATACACACACACACACAGATACAACAACACACTCACACACATGGATACACACAGAGAGATGCATGCAGAGCAATAAAGATGATACACACACAGGAACACACAGATATGCACCTATTCATAGATACAGAGTGATCCATAAACGTGGCAACACACATATAAAGGAGATTTATACACACAGAGAGATACACGCACATAGACACACACACACACACAGGCGTGATTTAAATCCTAATCAAATCAGAGTAACAGAGACGGAGAGATGCCCTGCTGGGAGCTGGCAGCTGTGGGAAGTGGGTTTCAGAGAAAATGATCTGGGGCTGCAGCCCCCCCCCCCCACTCACTGGTTGCTAAAAATAAAAAGAAAGGGCCCTTTGGAAACCCAGGCAAGAAACCAACCAGCCCCAAAGTCCCCAGATCCTTTATTTTAGTGGGTCAAAGTTCTCATTTTATCAACACTGAGTGACATCAGATAAACCAGCCCCGCCCCCACCTAGCCATCCCCCCCACACCCCCACCTAGCCATCCCTCCATCCCCATACACCCCCACCTAGCCATCCCTCCATCAATCCTAATACATACCCTCTATCTACCTGTCTAGGTGCATTTATACATATATACACACGTATATACACATCCAGCTATCCTGTACTCCTGCGGGAATTCTGCACCACTGCACATGCGCAGAATTTATGTCCCCTTCAGATTTCTTTGCTTCCCCACAGAAAAATTACTTTCTGACAGGAAAGCAAAGGGAAGCCAGAAGAGCGGTCATGTGACACCCCCCCCCCAGCCCCCTGCAGTATGTTTTGGGTGCCCAGGGAAGCCAGCAGAGAGGTAAATCACTGTGAGGCAGGAGGTGGGACTGGGGAAGACCTGGCTGGTGGCTCCTACCCTTGCGCTAGGCTCATCTGTTAGTCCCAGCTGGGCTGGGGAGGATGGGACTTCCTTTTCCCCTGCACGGCATCCAGGGCTGGGTCAGACTCACCCCTAGATTTCTCCCCCACCTGTAGGAAGCTCTGCAAACTCCCCCCGTCACTTCCTGCACCCATCACTCCTAAGCTGCATGGGGAGGGATCCCTGTACAGGGAGCTGCTCCCCTATCTGTCCAAGCCCCGTGCATCCAGACCCCCTGACCCTCCTACTGAGCCTCACCCCTCCACACTCAGAGCCCCCTCCCGATAAGCCCCATTCCCCCTGCACCTAGACTACCCCAACGAGCCCCTGCACTGACCCCTCCCTGGTCC